CCTCGACATCCCCAGTGCATTCATCAAGGACAATCCATTGAGATTCGTCCAAGAGCCTAGCGTTCTCCTGTAGATGGTGTACACACAGAGCCAAACCAAATGATGCATCGACGAGCCTTTAATTATTTTTTTTCAAATTATTTCCCATTGTATTCCTAAAAATCACTGCAGCTGAAAAGCAGAAGTCTAATATGAAAAAGTAATGGGAGAATTTGTTGATAAAAACATTATCAAAGGGATAGTGGGGTGTGTAATGGTAACCAGGAAAAGGAAGAGAAGCTATTTCATCACTACAGAGGAATTTCCCACTTCCTTGGCCTAAGGTGACACTGTTGTTGTTGTTGTTGTTGTTGCTGCTGCTGCTGTTGCTACAGAACCCAATAGGGCACAATGAGAAATAACACAAGACATGGTATCTATCAATGAATACTTTAAAAACCATAATAGAGATATAATTTTGATAATTTGGAAATAATCTGGATAGGCCTGCCAGAAGAGACTGATCTCTACTGCTAATTTAAATAAGAAGTGTCTTGAGTTGATGGAACTCTTCTGGCAGGGCATTCCTCAGTCTGGGAGCAGCTAAAGAAAAATCCTCTGGGTAACAGGCTAATTTGGTTGACAGATGTACATGACTCTCAGAAAGCCTAACCTTACAGGATAAATTATAGAGGAAACAGTGGTCCTGTAAGTAATCTGGAAATAAATCATGTTAGACTTTAAAGGTCATAACCAGTACTTTGCCCAGAAATTAATCGGCAGTTTTCAAACAAGTTGGAAGGTGAATAAATGTTGGTGAATTTGTTTAAAAGGCTAAAGTCCCCCTCATTAATGAGCCAACTTGAGATAGCAGATATGTATCAATGAAAATAAAACAAGTATCCTATATACTCTACACGTTTTAGTTAAGTCTAGGAATTTTAGTTTTAAAACTAACCTGAAAAGATATATCTATGGATCAGTGAGTAGCATATCTTAGCTCTTCTTTTCCTTAAGGAACCATCTTCTTCTCTGAATAGAGTCATAAAGGCAAGAGCTACTATGGTCTCTGCTTCTGGCTTTTTAAAGGTCATATTTAAAACCAACATTTTGGCTCAAAAATTCTGTTCTTGACTTATACATGAGATTGCCTGATACATGAGTATATACAGTAAATTGGGATTATTCTTTACTACTAGATCAGCACACACGACAAGTTTATCTTGCAGGAAACTGTAAGCAAGTGAGGGTGGACAGAAAAAAGTTCCAAGTGTTAATGGTAATTGCAGTGCTTTCACCTAGCTTACATCTAGAAAGACCATTATGGAAATATTTTAACATTTACTTACTATCAGAAATGGACAACGTAGACGAGGTAGGTTGGGCAATCACGGTCCAACATTTCCTGCTGGGAAGGCAGTCAGGAATGGGTTTTATTTATTGTGTCAGGAGCAAAAACCAAAGAGTTGTATTGCATATTTTAACAAACAAACAAACAAAACACAAAGTTTGCAAGCTTGGTAGTTGATTAAATGTCCTTTGACCAGTATCTGGCCACTTGGAGTGCCTCTGGTGTTACTATAAGATGCTCCTCCATTGTGCATGTAGCAGGGCTCAGGTTGCATTGCAGCAGGTGGTCTGTAGTTTGTTCTTCTCCACACTCGCATGTTGTGGATTCCACTTTGTAGCCCCATTTCTTAAGGTTGGCTCTGCATCCCGTGGTGCCAGAGCGCAGTCTGTTCAGCGCCTTCCAAGTTGCCCAGTTTTCTGTGTGCCCAGGGGGGAGTCTCTCATTTGGTATCAGCCATTGATTGAGGTTCTGGGTTTGAGCCTGCCACTTTTGGACTCTCGCTTGCTGGGGTGTTCCAGTGAGTGTCTCTGTAGATCTTAGAAAACTATGTCTTGATTCAGGAATGGATACTAAGGATGGATACAATTAATAATACACCATGGGTCTAAACATAAAAGCTCCAAAAATTCCAGATCCCACCTGATTTGAAAAGTAGAGACCACCACAGAATACCAAGTGCTGTAGGTTACATGTTGGAGGAAGGCAATAGCAAACCACCTCTGAGCGTTATTCTCTGCTTATATTAATTTTACCGGAATCCGAACTCAAATTGTTTAATGTATGACATAGAATGAGTAAGATAAGCTTGATATAAAGAGATCATTTTGTGAAATACATATGGGCAACCTACAGCTGATGATCAATATGTAGACATTGCTTCTGTGAGTTGCCCTGAGTTCAAAAGCTTCTGTCACAATTTTGCTGAGGAATCTGATGCATAAGGTGACTGCCATCCTTCTTTCTCCCATTGAGAACACATAGGTGGGATGGGGCCAGAGATAGAAGTTATCATTAATATTCTTAATATTTCTACATTATCATAATTCCCAGCTTTTGTTTGGCATAATGGTACATGTAATTGTAGTTGTGTTGATGCAATTAATATATATACACATGAAAGTTAATTAGGGGATATGCATAATAATTTTATTGCAAATACCTCTGGATTTTCTTGATTTGTTTCTCAGGTATATTTGCATAAAAGTGAAGGAATATATTCCTGCAATCATTTCTGTACTTGTAAGGGAAAATGTGAATAATAATAGAATGCACAGAATGCCAAATCCCTAAAAATGTTTTTCATTAAAGGGTTTATTTTTGGCATCTATGATTCCCACAGGAAACTTTTGGGCACACATTTTGGTTTAAGAAGAATTTATGATACACACATATGCTATTTCAATAAGCCTTTGTTCAGTAAGCCTTTGTTTTGAAATATTGCTCTAGTTAAGATTTAATAAAACCACAAATTGGGAAGTAAAAGGTGAACACTGTACAGCGCCAATGAGCAATTTACTTTGTAGTCTTCCATGTATTTATTATTTAACAAATCCAATGTGGCCATCTAGTGCATGTTCTTAGTATAGCATGCTCTCTCAACCACTATCATGGTCTTCTCATCTCCCATTCTTGTACATCAGTGGTTTCCAATTGTGGAACTTCATTATATTGTCACATAACGGCTTCTAGAATTCTTGACCACAAGGCAAGTGTCTGTAGCATCTATGAGTCAAAGTGCAACAATATCCAAGCACCCAAATCTGGGAAGCACTATTGTAAAAAGTTGTTTTAGAAAGTATGGTAGCTTGTCCCTCTTATTCATTACAGTAGGCCCTCCATATTCACTGGGGTCAGGAGCGCAGGACCCTTACAAAAGTGGGAAATCCACAAATAAGGAGGCACTATATTTGTTACCTCTCTAGAAATCTTTATGTTCTCCAGTGCGACTCTTACATACTTAGGCGATCCCTTGTTGTCAGAGTATGATGGCCTTCCAAGCGTAGGGTCTTGGCAGTGGGTCCATAAGTGACTGTGGAGCCCTATTCTTGATCCACATGTTCTCCCACAGTAAGGACATCTTTTTCCAGGTGGAAGGCAGTCCTGGTCAGGGTTGGCTTGATGCGCCTTCCTCTTGGCACGTTTCTCCCTTTTATGCCTCTTTGAATTCCGCAGCACTGCTTGTCACTGCTGATATCCAATTAGAGCGCTCAAAGGCCAAGGCTTCCCAGTTCTCAGTGTCTATGCCACAGTTTTTAAGGTTGGCTTTAAGCTCATCTTTAAATCTCTTTTCCTGCCCACCAACATTCTGTTTCCCGTTTTTGGGTTGGGAGTAAAGTAACTGCTATGGGAGATGGTGCTTGGGCATTCGGACAATGTGACCAGTCCAGCGGAGTTGATGGCGTAGGAGCATCGCTTCAATACTGGTAGTTTTTCTTCTTCCAGTACGCTATTTGTCTGCCTGCTTCTTACTTTTCTAACACTTTTTTATTTTTGTAGGGAGAAAAAAGACACCTTTTGGACTTATAACACCACTGAGTATTCTTTATCCAAATGCTTGAAATGACAACATTTTTGGATTTTGGATTTGCTTGGAATTTGAAATACCTGTGTTTGCATATATGTACATAGAAAGATATTTTAGAGATGAGACCCAAGTCTGAACACAAAATCTATTTATGTTTCATGTATACATTATACACATCACCTGAAAATAATAATATATAATTTTAAAATAATTTTGTGCATGAAACAAAAGTTTGTCCACATTGAACCATCAGAAGGTCAAAGGTGATACCATAGGTGAATTCTAAAGTATGTTGGAATCCTGTAATATTTCTATTAGAGATGCTTGGTCTGTATAGAATATTGAAATTATCTGTAAAAGTGTCTACAATGTGTCCTTTAAAAGTAATGCCAGAAAGTGACTAACCTAGAGGCAGAATCAAGTTTGCGGCTTATTCCAGTGACATCTGAAATGATATCAGTTGATGAATTTTATGAAATGAGGTATCTGAGAAGAACAACAACTGCTTCTTTGTCATAGGATGTGCACCTTCTCCAACCAGTGCTGGTGTTGGGAGACTATTTCTGGAAGCGTCCATTTGCAGATGTCCAGTGAGGGAAGAGGAAGCTGCCATTTCATATCCTGATTGCCCACCTCCATTGAGTGCCAATGCAAAACCACAAGTCTACTGCTCACTGCACAAATAAGATAACATGGCTCTTGTTACTGCATTACTTTTGCAATGTGTCTTTGTAACCCTTCCCTTACTCAAGAGAATAATCAGTTACAGGAAACAGTATTACTTGTACTTCCACGCTTTGACAAATTATCACACCAGTGTAAGCCAGGATGATCTCAGACCACTATATCACTCTAAGAGAGCATAACAGGCTCATGATGACTATTCATACTATGGGGTGCTTTTTAAAGGTTTATTACAGGGAAGGGAAACTCCAAGCATAGGGGAAGGGGTGGAGACTTTTATTAAAAATCAAAAATGATAAACATAAAGGACATTTTAAGGAGAAACAGAATAGTACTGGGAATCCAAGCAGAAGTAAAATCAGGAGAGAGATGAAGATATTTGAGAACCACTCCCAAGCTAAAAAAAAAGTTAATGTCATGGATAGATGCCAATGAAAGAACTCAAATATGGTACCCTTGTGTTACACACTAAAAATATTGAATGAGATTGCATGGTGCTCCACATGCATAACTCTGTTCTCCAGCCCAGATTGGTGTCCAACTGTCATGGCTTCTTTTAGCTCAGGGGTTCCCAACCTGTGGGCTGCAGCCCAGCAATGGGTTGCGAGAACTCAAATCAGGTCTGTGAACCTCCTTCCTCTTTATTTGTTTAATTTATTTCTGATCTTTTCCCCAGAGCTGGCCAGCCCAGCCCATTTTGATACTAATGTTGGAGACTGGTCCCTAGTCAAAGTGGTCCCTGGTCAAAATGGTCCCTGGGTAAAATGGTTCCCGGGCAAAGTGGGCCCTTGTCAAAGTGGATCCTGGTCAAAAAAAAAAAGGTTGGGAACCACTGTTTTAGCTGGAAGGAGGTGAAGGAGCAATGTCCAGCAACATGTTGGAGAAGAGAAATGAGATTGGTCCTGCACATTTCCAGCACCTCATCAGATATAGGAAAGCAGGTTTATTTTTCTTCCCCTGAGTGTACATGTGTAGACAGAATGGGTGCCGTTTGTTAATCTCTTCCTTTTCCTGTCCTTGCAAGGCCATGCCAGAGCCCTTGGCCTGACAGCATACAGGGCAGTTAGCATTTCATAAAGAGCTAGTGAATAGCACCTTAAGTAATCCTTTAATGCAGCCATTAACTCAACTCTAAAAAGGAACAAAAGAATTGCAAAAAGAAATTGACAGAGAATAAATAAATAACCTAAAGTAACTTGTGGATAACAGAATATTATTTAGATGACAGAAAGAAAAATGATACCTAAATATCATAAAGCCATTGTAGAACAACAGAGATGTGATATCTGCAAAAGCCCACTTGAGAGAAGCACACTTACAAAAGCCTGAGTTTTGGTCTAATAGAGTCTTTATGAGATGTTACATTTAGAAGGAACCAAGATCCATATACCTAGTAGATGTTTCAGTTTGGTGAGACTGCTAATTGAGGAAACCCAATGCCAACAGTAACAAAAATGCATATTTGCTTTTGGAGTGGTTCAATTACATTTGTTTAATCAAATAATATTTTATTAGTGTCATAATTTTATTGTGTACTTTTCTCAATGACTTTGTTTTTTAACTGAATTTCCAGTACATACCTTCTAACCTCATCCTTTTTATTATGTTCTTTCTTGTAGTTTACAACCAAGACAACAAGCACTTTTATCTACTGTTTGCTAACCACCTGTTCACGTCACATAAGTTAATATTGAGGTACTACAACTCACCTTCATGTTTGTCCATAAACCTATATTTATTTAGTGCTTGTTTTGGTACCAAGGCCACAGCTGCATGGCTATATAGGTGGGAAAAGGGCCAGGTGTTAAAACTTATCTTTGCCAGTGAAGTCCAAGGGTCTGGAAGAGTGTTAGCAAAGAGCCAGGAAGAAAATTCTAGCAAAGCCATGAAGATCATAGGCTTTCTTCTCCTTAGTCTGACACTCTTCTTTCTCTACTCAGGTAAGCTAAATATTGTATTAGTAAGTTTGTGTTTTGAGAAGACTTCTTGAATCTTATTATTGCACAGAATCATAGAGTTGGAAGAGACTTCATGAGCCATCCAGTCCAACCCATGCCAAAAAGCAGGAATGGTTGGACATGATGCCTTCCACCTCAGAAAGGAACACATTCATTGAAGGATATCCTTCATCTGAAACTATTCCATGGGATAGTGCAAGAAAATTAACATTCAAGGTTTACACTAGGGGTGAAGAAACTTTGGCCCTCCAAAGACTGCTGGTTTGCACTTCTACTAGCCATAGCCAACAGAGACAGAATTGTGGGAGCTATAGTCCAGCAATATATAGAGAGCTCCATATTCCTCCCCCCTTGTGGAATGCATCCTGTCACACAGAGATACTCAACATTTCAGTGTATATCCTGATAGTTGTCCAGAACCAATGTCTTGCACACTCCTTGCAATGGGGAAAACAGCTTTCAAATATTAAATGTCAAATGTTAAAGCTACTGCTACTCCTACAGGGAAGGAAGGGGAACTCCTGTAGGAAGACAAAGCATAATGTTCTGCCCAGAAGAAACTCCATCTCTCTCTGACCATGAGAGTCATCTTCCTCTTGCTGCCTCCCTTCAACACAGTTATACAGTAGCTGGATTAGGCGGGGACTGGCCAAGAAGCCCCTAACTGTGTCTTCATGACTGAATATATGACAGAAGAGTCCTCCAAAATCCCAGTGGATTATAGCATTGTTCTACAGCCAGCTATAGGACATATAAGCCCAAAAGAAGCAAAGTGAGTCTTCAGAATGTGAGATAGTTAATTTCTCCCTCTGCAACAACTGGTAGATGCTGGTGTAACACTAGTGAATATCACTAACAAATACCACCAAGATACTTTTGGTCTTCATATGACTGCCACAGCATGAGAAATAGACCTCTTGTTAAACCCAGAGCAGGACATTCAGAGGAAATTGATAAAACCATGTTTCAGATCAATTTGTACACAATAAAAAATTTTCTTAATCTAGTGTTGTAAACTGATAAAATTATTTTAGTTAATTTGTCATTTTTGTTTCATTGGGTACATCAGTGATGCTTAACTTGTTCTTATAATGAAAGTCATCATTACGTGTGCCTAGTGAGATAAAAAAGACAGTGCCATATGTAAGCACAGACAGCATGGCTAAATTGTGGAATTCAATGAATATAGTCATGATTGCCAGCTTGGGTGGCTTTAGAGAAAGATTACAAAAAATCTTGGGTGCTGGAAGCATCACTGGCTGTGTATTGTCTCCAATATAGCAGGCAATATGCCTTTGGAAGATGTGAAAAAGAGAGTGCTACTTTACTCATGTCCTAGGTTGCATACACACCACACAATTATAACAATTCCACTTTAAATACTAAGGTAACATCCCATGGATTCTTGCGATCTGCAGTAATAGGAAAGAAATGTACAACCCTTGGAAATACTATGGTGCATCATCAAACTACATAGTAGTTTGGTGATGCACCATAGGAATAGCTAGGATAGAACCATGGCAAATAAAGTGGAAAATATTGTTCTAATTATGTGGTATGGGTGCTTGTGAACTTCCCATAAGAAAACTGTGAGAGGTCACTTTGTGAACATAATGGTGGGCTGGCGGGGTTTTTCTGATATTCTTCAATCAAATCTAGCTTTGCTGCAGTAAAAACAATAATTTCTCATGGATTCCAATTAGCATTGCTCTAAAGCTTGCACCTGTTTGTTTCTTTGGGCCTAGATGTTGCCGTTGAAGCAAGAGAAATACAGGTAAGTGACAGCTACATTTTATAATGTATACCATACCATACATAACTGATATATAACTGATCATTCAGATATGATACTTTCCCAAAGCAGGTAAGTAACATATGGAGGGAAGGGAGAGAGAGAGTTTCTAAATGGAGTTGTGCTTGTGGGGCTGACTGATTTTCTAAAGAACTGTTTTAGTGCAAGAGTAAAGAAAATAATTGTTCCTGGGATGCATGTGATCCCAAAGAGAGCCAGTGTGGCATAGTGGCTTGAGTATTGGACAGCTGTAGAAACCATGAGTTTCCCACTCAGCCATGGAAACCCACTGGGTGACCTTAGGTGAGTCACAAACTCTCAACCCCAGAGAACCCTGTGATAGGTTTGCCTTAGAGTCGGCATCAATCTGAAATTGCCTCAAGGCACACAACAACAACAGCAATTTATACTCCATCATCAATTGTGAGTAAAATTGATTTTTTACATTCAAAATACTGTTCAAAAACCCTATCGGACAGAGGGCAGTTTTGAGAAGGGCTTATTTAAAGCCAGAAGTGACCCCCAGTTTATTTCCTCATTTTTAAATGGCTCTTCCTGGTTTAAAAGAGGACAAGAACATAGCAAAATTACTTTTGTCTCAGAATCTGAAATTCCCAGCACCCTGTTTTCTGTTACTTGAAAGATGAGAGTGCTTCATCTTTCATGCAACATTCATTAGTTTTGATTGGCATGTGTATGTGGCAACTGTAAACCAAACCCATTATTTGAACGGGATGAGATATACTTGTAACGCAGGTCTCCTTCCTACACTTTCATCCCACACCTACAATTTCACGAGCCCTGGAAAAAATCTTGTTTTAATTCTGTTGTTCTGGCTGATGTTGCCTGCCTCCATGTCATTTCTAACTTTTTATGGTGATCCTGAGACAAACCTTTCAAGAGGGGATTTGCTGTTTCCCTCTTCTGAAGCTGACAGCACCGATCTCGGGGGCCCACCACCCTCCTCCTCCCTGTTCTCAGMTTTTTCCTTCAATGGCAGTGGCCCCAACCATGGAGGAGTGAGAAGGAGGGGAAATAAGCAATTCCTGTGGCCAAAGGGAGAGCTAGGCAATTCACTTGCCTTGAGGCTAAGCCCTTCTGCCCACTGGCTGCGGCGGGGGGGGGGGGGGGTGACTACAGAGCTGGAAGACTCCAAATGGCATCCAGTCCAACCTCCTTCAGTAAGGCAGGAAGACACAGTCAAAACGCTCCAGATAGCCATCCAGCCTCTGTTTAAAAGCCTCCAGAGATTTAATCACCACAGAATAGAATAGAATAGCTTTATTTGTCATGGTGCTATTGCAGAACGAAGCTACATGCCTTCCCCGCACACACCACAAAACAACACACCCATTCCTCCATACCTCCACCACCACCACACATCCTCCAATGCCACATCAGTGCAAAACCACAGACTTCAACATAGCCACAGCTCTAAGATAAAAGCTATCCTTCAGTCTGTCCTTATCTTTGTCACCCTATACCATCTGCCAGATGGCAAAAATTTAAAAAAAAAAGAATATGCCAGGTGAGATGGATCCCCAAGAATGTTCTGAGCTTTCTTAAAGCAGTGGAAATTATAAAGTTCTTCCAAAGAGGGGAGAGGGCAACCAATGATTTGCTGTGCAGAAGTGGTGACCCTTTGAGTGCCCTCCTATCTGCCACTGTGTCCAAACCATGTGCAGGTGCAGTAGGTTAGGACACTCTCTATAGCACAGCAATAGAGTGCTATAGTAGAAGTGGAGTGCTGGCGTGTTCAAGTGCAAGTACCTATAACTTTTATTATTTGCACAATTTGTTGATTAAAATGGAGTAATTACCACAAAATGGATAAGTTTCTAATTAAGAAAATAAAAATCTGTTAACAACAAAGTTTGTGATGAACCACATGGAGTAGCTATAGAGGAAACTACACAAGAGTCAGATATAGCACACAAATTTACAAAGGGGAGGAATCCAAACCTTGTTTATACAGTAAATTTGGGGCAAGGGAGGAGGGCCCTATGACTTAACTTTTGTCTTGCAATTGTTCTAATTTTGCTTCTCTTTGGCTCCGACATATTTCATAGGATCCATGCAGTTTATTTTCAATTGTTTTATCACATTAATGGGTCTTGTAGCCTGAATTGGAGTCCTCTGGCCTTCAGGTCCCCTTGGACCTCCAGGACCTCTTAAACAATATCTCTCCCACTTCCTGGAAGGATCTGTATGCCATCCAACATCACACAATCTTCTTGCCCAATTCACATTCAATGAATGTAATGTGCTCCACATAGGATTATCTTTGAAAGATGTGGTTAAATTATAATTGGTCCAGAAAAATCACTGGCAGGTTATTTGATGAAGGAATACAGGTCTTGAGTTTCAAAAAGTTTGATATGGAGGCATTCATATTTCTCCCCTTGTGAGCCAAATCTTCACGTTCCTCCCTGATATGGGGGAGGTTTCTACACCATTTCAGGGAATGCAAGGGCTCTTAGAGGGGGTTGTCAGGTGATTCCCATGAGCCATATGTGACTCACAGGTCACCCAGTTTCCAGCCTGAGTCTATATGATTATTTTGTTGAAACCACTAAGAAATAGTGGGGAATACTTCTGAAATTGCTGTTTCTCTCACTGCAGCCTGCTTGTAAGGGCTACCCCCGGAATGCCTGCACCCTGGAGTTGAAACCACACTGTGGTTCTGATGGCACTACTTATGACAACGAATGTTTGTTCTGTAATGGAGTTGCGTAAGTATCAGATTCACATGATGAACAACTGAAAAAGAGGAGCAGAACCCTTCTGTAGGTAGTTCCGAATTTTTAGCACTTTTAAATCAATATTGCAGTTGATATTTATCCCAACTACGCTCTTTCTTAACAAAAATAAGAAAAAATAAAAAGTAACCTAAAGGAACAATGGAGCTTGAGAAAGGGAGCTACTTTACAAATGCTTGGTGTTACCAATAAGAAATGTAACAATGGGCAAATTCCAAGCGACTTTGTATTTTGTATTTATCTTTTTCCTAAGAAATCTTCTGGATTCTCACCATCTGTTTTGCCTTTTCTTTTACCAGCAAAAGCCGTGGGACACTTAGACTGAGTCACTATGGAGCCTGTTAAAAAACCAAAAACTGAAGAGCATCCATTAAAGTAAAAACATATCCCTCACTCATCCATCATTTTCTTGTTTCTGCTCCAGACGTTAATGAAAATGTTGTGTTGGCTTGATTTGATCTATCAATAAAGAAGATTGACAGCATTATGTCTGCTATGGTTTTTCTTCCCTCATAGAATTAGAACTTGAGGTAATCTAGTAAAGCTTAATGATGATCAAAAGCAAACTCCCAAAGTCTATTTGCCCTACTTGACATTGCATCCATGCCCTATAAAAGATTACCTCTTTTCCCTCTTCATTGTGAGTTACTTCCATCAATGCAAACTGGGTGCAAAATACAAAATAAATTTATACTCAACTCAGCAAAAAGAAGTGGAGAGTTCACAGTGGAATCTTACTTGCACAGTCGATTCAAGCAAAAGCAAACAACTGCACCCTCTCCTAATTGGTGTGTTCCTGTTCTCCATCAGCAAGAAAATCTGCCATCTTGTCCCCATTCTGATGCTGTTTGTCCAAAAATGGTTTTTGAATGTGGGACTGTCATGAATCTAACTTTTTGCCAGGAAGGCCGAAGCCTGGAAAGTCAGTAGTTGACATGTTGAGAGATAGGCAGGAGAGCTAAGAGGCAAGAGGGAGGAGCCAGCCGACTCCTGATTGGCTAGAGCAGTCAGGAGAGGAGTTAGGTTTTAGAGGGAAAAAAGGCTGTGTCTTTTTGACAAGCTGGGGAGTTGAGCTTTAAACATCGAAGAGTGTAGAAGGATAGTTATGAAGAGGGAGCTGTGAAGAATTTAGACAGGGAGAACTTTTGAAGTGAGCCTTGTAGTTAGAGCATAGGAAAGGCAAAGGTTCCTGAATCACTGTACATAGAAGGGTCAGTGTAGGAAAGTCTATTTTGCTCTGTGAGGCAGTCATTGGGCTGTTCTCAGGGACACACTGTGTCAAAGTAGTGAGCAGTGTGAAGCAAGGAACTCACAGGGAACAAAAGTTAAAGTCTTGAGAGAAGACTGCTTGTCTAAACCAGCTAAGCCTCTGAAACGCATTAAGCTTTTGTACCACTCTTATTAAGAGTTGATTTGTTCACCAAGTTTAAATAAACCTGTTTATAGTTTCATCTTTAAACTGGTGTCTGCCTCGGTCTATCACACTCCTTAGATCTCAGCTAGCCCAAGACCAACTTAATTTCAGTCCAGTCAGCGAAAGAAGCAGCCAGTGAAGAAAAACAAAGGGCTTGAACAAACTTTACCTATTTTCACATTCACACTTATGTTTTCCTCAGACATTAATTGAGGTGGTGGCGGCAAATCTACCTAATATATCGGTCATTAACAACGTTAATACAGTTGGTCACTCGATAGTAATATTACTGAGGTGGGATAAGAGAGTCTTTCCCCCTTCATCTTAGTCAGTTATCTTCATTTAAGTAGTGTCCAGCTGAACGTTAACCTTTACACTGGTGGGCAGTGGTGTGATTGTTCGTCCCCCCTGCCAAGGTTGACATTTATCTTTTTTTACACTGGTGGCAGCGGTGGGATTGTCTTTCCCCCCTGCCTAAGGTGACGTTTGATCTTTATTACAGGGACACATAGAGGAGGTCTCCTTTCAAGATGTCTCAGCCTTTAGATTGGCATATATAGAGAGGGGTGCTCCTTTCGATGCTATTGAAAAATGTGATCAAGTTCCAGATCCAACAGATGATTCACTGAGCAAACAAGACATCAAAGGGAGAAGACAATGCATAAGATGTTTCTTGAGAAGCTTAGCCTTCCTAGCCAAGGACTATAGTAAAAAAAGTGGAAATGTTTTTGTTATTACAGCCACCCGAAGAACAAATGACAAATATAGAACCAAAATCTATAATTCCTGGCCTGCTCAAAGAGTCCTTGTTCTACCACAGAGGCTCCCAGTCTAGAAGCAAACTGATGGAAAATAACTTAGGCATTCACCATTTACATAGCTTTTATACAGCAGCACGTAAAACTTGGACAACTCCAGCAACAATTATTCATTGCCACATAAATTACATTGCCATATAAAATCAGGTAATCTCCTTTGATTATCTGATTTGATAATGTGGGTTATATGGCAGTGTAGAAGGGGCCATAGTCTTATAATAAAGAATCTATTCAGGGACAGCTATGTTGGCATTTTTATAACTGCCTTCCCTTTCTAACACAACTGAATCCTCAAAATCTCTTTGTATGATTTCCCCCCAATGTTTCCATTGAATAACTGTTTGTGATACTTCCAGTCAGCATTGCAAGGGAGTCAGTAACTATCTATGTGTGACAGCAATTGATGTTTGCCCTTAGAGGGTGACTGGTTGGGAAATTCAAAGTGGTAAAAACCCTGTGATTATGGAGGAAATGGAAAACAGCTATTGCCAGATCTATTACAAGGAGTGCCTGACATAATTATTGTTGTAGTCTCGGCTTGATGTGGATAAAACAGCATTCCCAAAGTCCCATAAACATTTGCTGGTTCCTTGGACCAATAATCAGTCTTGAGTGGAAATGGTGAATGCTTTCCATTCTTAAGGCGTGGTTTGTTGGGTGTATAAATAAATTGGAATCTGAGATGCCCTTGAGCTTGTGACTTGAACGCAGTCTGTGGAACCAAAATGAAAACTGCAGGGGTCTTAATGCTTCTAACCTTGACTGTCTTCTGCCTCTTCTCTGGTAGGTAACATTTACTGAACTATTACTTCAACAAAGCATCCAAAAGAATGGGATCAGTGCTGAGATAGATATCCATGAGATCACCATAACTGGTTATAATAATTTTAAGAAGTAGAGTCATATACTCAGGGCCCATTCATGTTCCACAAAGTACCACAATTCCACTTTAGCAGCTCTGTCTGAATCCTATGGAATCCTGGGGTCTAATTTCACTAATTTCTGGGGAATTTCTGGGTTTTTTTTAACAAACAATATAATTTGTAAAAAAAACTACAAGAGCTATCTACTTTTATATACAATGCACAAGATAACCAGGGCATCAATTCCCCCCCCCCCCCCATTTTCAGTAAGATTCACACATCTACGAATTTTGGGGGATTTTTTAAAGTTTCGACAAAACCACCCCACCCCACCCCCAAAAGCCACAATAGCAATCCCCTTGGATGTCTGTCTAACAGTGTGTCTACATGACATACAATTAACCACATAACTTTTTAATGAATAACTTTATTGATACTAATATTTTTATATAAAAGTTAAAAAGGAGTTAGGGTAGCAGGGGTAGACAGGAGGGAGGGAGTGTATATTGGTGGGAGAGAGAAAAAATGGGTAATAAAATGGCATGGAAAGAAGGGAGGAACAAAAGGGGGGGAGAAAAAAGGGGGATTTTGTTGATCAGCAATCTTTTTCATCTTGGTTAAAGAACACTTAATTCAGCTTTTTAAAAATTCTACAACTCCCATTTCATCCATTCTCTAAGTGTGGAGAGTTTTCCTGTACCTCTTTCTTAAATTAAATTAACATTTTCATTTTTTTCTTGTTTCAAATAATCTTTAAATACTGTCCAATCTGTTGGGGTTTTTTTTGGGGGGGGGGATCTTGGTGTTTTTAAATAGGTGAGTCAAGTTGTCCATATAACCACATAACTTTATACTATTACTAACTTACTTTAGTCCTCTTTGCAGATTCAATAATTTTACTTATTATTATTAGACTCACCCTTTTCTCTGCTCCGCTCCAAACACAGAGCAGTTTGTCCTCTTTTTGTGGGCACTTACAGGTGCATATACCTACATACACCCAGTACTGTAGATCCAGCTTAAACCATTGCTGGAGAGGGGTAATGGGTGGGGAGGAGATTAGAAAATATCAAGGTTTTGTATTTTTATTTTAAAGCACCCTGCTGGTAGGAAGAAAAATGCTCAGTAAAAAGGAAGGAAGGCCTAAAAGGAATTTCCAATGTCTCATCTGGATATTGGAACCAAGTTGTAATTACAGGAGTAAAAACCATGATCTCCCAATATCCCAGCAATCTAGATAAGCTCCAAGACCGCTAAGATGCCAAACAGTGAATCATTGTGGTATGTTCTTTTAACATTTTCTGTAAGGTATTTATAAAAGATAACTAGGCAGTTACATAGATAATGATAAAACAATAAATCTACCTGTACTGTCAAAATAACCTATTAATAAAACTCACCTATAAATTAAAGCATGCTGTCCAACATAAAGTAAGACTCCCATAATTGTTCAGATAGACTACTCTGTTTGGTAGTCTACAAAACCTTTCCTTGAAAATGAAACCAGAGGAGTGGGGAGCGGGTTGTTTGTAGAGCTCTTCTGAAGCCCTGTAATGGTAAGTGCTGACATAACACAATTAGCAATGTGTTTCACGTTGCTTTTAAAAAACAAACAAACAAACAAACAGGTACCCACTGCACATCCTTCTACCCCCAAAGCTGAAGTTTGGGTCCAATTTTGATATTCCCACAATTGAAAGACTTAGTGGAGTAGTACTTCTTTCAGCTTTGTGCCTTTCACCATTCTACTCAGGTTTTTTCCTCTAAAAAAATCATTAAGTTACAGTACTTATACTGACCAAGGATGAGCGGACCCAAGTTTTTGAGACTGATTTTTAAAACCAAATTTTTCTAGACTTATGCACAAATGTATATAATAACAAGATCTTTTCTTGGCACTGAAAAGAGGGAAGAGAGGGGGAGAACTCACCCTCCCCTGAGAGACTCCTTCATAGCCTAGGAAAAGCTACCCAAGGCTGTCCACTATGTCCGCATTAGACAATCCTGTGAGTGTAGTAGGATGGAAACAAAACCTACCTCATAAGACAATAAAACACCAGCAGGCTCATGTGGATTTTCCTTGACCCAACCCCCAAAATAATACCAAATGATAACATATTTTATAATACTGAAAGCCCAGAAGTACTAACTGAGCCATATACCCTCATTCATTCCCTGACGTATATCATTTACCAAGGTAGCCAGGATTGTTTTAATCAAAAATAACATCAGTTTTAAATAGATCAAAACAATGAATGCAATCTCCCCCGACATAAAGAGAAGGGGACAAGATCACCTCCAACCCCTTTTCAAAAAATAACAAATTAGACATTAAATAATTAAGATCAAAAATGGCTTTTTCAGCAGGTGGAACTGCAATAAGGACCTTTAAACTTCTAAGATTTAAATAAAGGGAAGGCAATCTGGGCCAGACCTTTCACCCAGGGCGCATCCAGACAGCCCCTTTAAAGCAGGAGTTCTCACATTTTAAAGTGGGCCATCCAGATGATGTTCCACAGAAAAATGAATTCATTCACCACAAACCAGGAAAACCCTGATTTTTTGTGAAATAATTTGTTAGTGAGTTTATTCTGTGCCTTCTTGTACTACTTCCGCTATCTGGACTGCTCCCTCAAAAGTTCTGGACTTTTGAAGGGGCAGTCCACACAGTAGCCCCATGTTTTTCTTGGCTAAATTAGCCCAGAGAATGGTGTGAACACCAATTTTCTCCCCACCCCCCTTTAAAAAATAGAAGAACTTACCCACCCTCCATTAGCATGGTGCCGGAGCTCTCCTGGTGCATAGGAATGACGGACCAGGAGAAAGGGGGGGGGAGGAAAATCGCTCCTGTCTCCCACCCTTCTCATGTGCCAGGAGAGCTATGGCACCATGCTAATGGAGGCTGTGTAGTTTTTTATTTTAAAAATAGGTTGGGGGTGGGGGGGTGGTGGCTTGAGGAAGGGGTTATTGTGTCCGGGTGTTCTCCTAGAAGGTTCTGGGAGCACATCTGAACACCCAGCTGCAAAAGCGTGTGCTTTTGTGGCTGCTGTGTGGACAACACTCCACCCCAACCCAGATTTCTTACACCCAGTTCAAAGCAGATTTTACTGCTGTGTGGAACCGCCCTCAGCCTCAAATAGGAAAAAATAATTAAAAAACTGAAAGGTGCTGATTATCCATGACTTTTTGGAAAAACAAAAGTTGGAGGGTTTGAGGAAATTCCTAAATTTAAAACTGCTGTTGTGAGAGGTCTTGATGAGCCCAAGCACATTTTTCACCACATATACCCCTGGTGTAAACATATCCTGATTTTTCATGGAAGGATTACCTTGTTAAGGAGCCTAACAAGGACATTATTTATGTTTGGCTCAGGAGAAATGCTAATATTCATTTGTTCAAAATGCAGAATACATTTAACATTCATTTGCTATGACTCCTCTTGTACCAAAGATACACAATAACTTTTCTTGTTTCTCCTTCTGTGTGCTTTAGATGTTGTTGCCCAACATGGCAGAGAGGTAAGGGCACCTGTTTCTGTTTACTACTGATAAATTGTTTGCAAATACTGCACTGGTCAGCAGCTAGTTCTACTAGAGATATACGTTGAGAAGTGTGGATAGAGTATCTGGTCCCCTCCCCTCTGAACAGGGTTGTTGTCCATGATTGCATCAATTAATTGTTAAATGTATAGGTGTAGTTGGGAATAGCTGTTACTAAAATGACTGCAATTAAATTAGATTATAATAAGACATCCTTATTTATGGGGGATGCATTCTGAGACAAACCAAGTTACCAACAAAAAAAACTGGTAACTTGGAATACCATTAAAAACAAATGACTTCCAGTTCCAGCATACCATAGAGTTATGCTGGGAGATCTACAGATTCCTAGAGAAGTTATTTGTTAGATTCCCCAGCATTACTGTATGCAAACTTTTTGAGGAAGCATGCCCTAGAATTGCACTGGAGGATATAGCAGACCATAGTCTAGCGAGTATGGGAAATCACCGATGCAGTTTCCATGATTAAGGGGGGGTCTTATAATAATTCATGATGACTGGATGAAACTAAATGTCTCCAAATATCGTTTGCTGGAAATTCCAAAAGTTGTAAAATTCCAGCTCTCATTTTCCCTCACTGTGGGTTTTTCTGCCTAAGGCTAATGGTGGTTTCGGTCCAACAATATCTGGAGTGTCTCATGTTGCCTTTTCCTGATTTTGGGGGGGGGGGGGCTCTACTCATGAACTCACTGGAAGCACTCGCTGGACCTATGAGTTACCAGGATGCCAAGACAGAGAATTCTTCAATGAAAACCATACCATTATTGCAACAGTGTACAGAATGTCCAGTGTTTCCATTGATAATGAATAATGGGAGAGTTAGTAGAGCTATTCAGAACTAGAGAGCTATAAAGAAAGGTGTGTTTTCAAAGATTGCTTCTGTTTCTTTCAGTCCACTTACTGCAGTGAATACCTAAACACAGCAGTATACTGCACCAGAGAATATGAGCCTCACTGTGGGACAGACAGACAGACCTACGGAAACAAATGTGCATTTTGCAGGGCAGCTGCGTAAGTATATAAATATATACAACTGGGAAAATTATACAATTATAATTGCTGTGTTGTTTTTAGGTTCACTCTTGCCTAAGATGTACACAGTGAATTTCATGCATTTAGATTGTAAACCTGAAGGCAGGATAAAGCACCATGTACAATGATATGTCACTTAGCCTTAGAAAACTATTAATGTATCAGTTAACTCAATGACTGCCAAATGTGTGGCCTCTGTTCAGATCTCTTGTAAAGATATCTTCCTGATTTCATTACACAAACTGGTTTTGCCAAAGTTGAATGAACTCAGGTCTCTCTATTCAGAAATATCCATTATTGTACAACCCCGTGTCTGTGTGACTAGTATTCATGGTTTCATTTATCCACATCTGATAAGATATGTCTTCCCTAGGCATATTTCTAGATCTTCCAGCATGACTCTATGGTGTTCTTGGGCCAGAAATCCTTTATTTCAATAGGATTTACTATTACCTATAGTTTTATGTATATATGTAAAGTCCAGGAATGTATCCCCCATGGATACAGGGGCATACAGAAGTGTTTTCTTCATGACCTGTCACCAGGACAAAGTACATGCAAACCAACATTGCCTTTAGTAAGAAAAGAGTCAGACCTGCTTTATTCTTTCTGAGCAGCAGCAGAGGTTTGCAGTATGTCCTTAATTCTTTTTAAATTTTTCATGGTGGTCAAAGGCAATGCTATCCCCAAAGCCCTGTAGCTGGCGGCTCACATCTGCCAAACATGACATTGGTGGCTTTTCAAAAAGCTATCCAGGGTGCTGAATCCTATCCTTAAGCAAGCTCATGTACAGGGTTAGTCAAAATGAATAGGCCAATAAGAAAATTAATTTTAGACGAATGTATGTTTATTGTAACCAAACTACAGCTACGTAGCGACAGATAAACTATCAAAGTTTTGTCTCACCTTCAGAGATGTTCGATATGGGCGCCCCGTGTGACACGGCAGATGTCCAAGCGATAGTCCAGTTCATTCCACATCCGTTGCAGCACATCCGACGTAATGGCATCGAATGCAGCAACGTCTGGAAAGGTGTTCGTTGAGGTCCTAACCCTAACCCTAACCCTAACCCTAACCCTAACGCACATCCGACGTAATGGCATCGAATGCAGCAACGTCTGGGAACCTAACCCTAACCCTAACCCTAACCCTAACCCTAACCCTAACCCTATCCCTAACCCTAACCCTAACCCTAACCCTAACCCTATCCCTAACCCTAACCCTAACCCTAACCCTAACCCTAACCCTTGAAATTCTCGCTGGACCGTAATTACTGACATTGTTTTAGCAAATGTCATCACACAAAACGCCTTCTCTTTGCTTGATTCCGCCATTTTGAAAACAGCGACCCCTAGCGACGCCTAGCGGCATTAACGTACATGTGTGTTGCTCAAAAAAAACTTTGATAGTTTATCTGTCGCTACGTAGCTGTGGTTTGGTTACAGTAAACATACATTCGTCTAAAATTAATTTTCTTATTGGCCTATTCATTTTGACTAACCCTGTACTTTGGATAGATAATTAAAAGTTTTAAAAAATGAAGAGTTGATTCACCACCCCCTGGACATGAAGGCCACTAAATGCAACTGAATGAGATGTTGCTATTGCAGTGATGGGCAACCTTTTGAGCTTGGTGTGTCAAAATTTGCCAAAAACCTGAACACAGCTTGGGTGGGGTGTCAACTTCGAGAAAAAAAAAACCACATAATTTTGCAGTATTTATAGTTTAAATAAGAAAAATGTATATTCCATGCTGAGTTATGGCGTGAACAATGCTCAAACGTGCAACCTTTTACAAATTTAAGGATGGAATTAAATTGGCTCTTATAAGGTGTACTTCTCTGTATGCGGCCGCATGTGGCCGCGTGTCATCAAAAATAGCCATGCATGACAGTGCTGACACGCATGTCATAGGTTCACCATCACGGTGCTATTGCATCCTAAAGTTAGCAAGAATATTTATAATAATATTTATAACACCACCAGTAACAGAAGAGATCTGTTTGAGTACATGTGCCTACAGGCCAAGTGCAGTCTGCCATGTCATTTTATGTGGGCCTCCAGATGCTGGGCTACAACTCCTGTATTCCTCATCATTAGACATCATGGCTAGAACTGATGATACAGTGATACAGTAACATCTGAGAGGCTGTAGTTTGTTCTGTTTAGTCAGGATAGTGGGGTTTGAATTTAGATATAAAGCATGTGGATATGATGACTGACTTTAAAATCTCCTTTAACCTTTCCCCAACCTCAGAGTCAAAAGTGCTGTTGGGTTGCAATTCCCATTATCCCCAATCCGCATGGCAGATCATAAAAAGTGATGAGAGTTTTCATTCAATAACATCTCAGGACCAAAATTGTGTAAAAACTAAAGAGCATCAATCACTGTGTAAAAAAAATGTGGTTGGATTCTTCATCCATAGATTCAACGCCCATTTGAAGGCAACCATCAGGATGATTTGGCCCTTGATAAAAATAGGTTTGACACCCCTGTGATAGAGGGAATTGCTGGGTGCCAATGATGGCTCCTCATTAATTTCCCTGGAAGTAAAAAAGGGAAAAAGAATGAATCTGAGTGATACACAGCAGTCAATGTGGATACAAAGGTCTGCACCTTTAAGGTAATTCTGCAAGGAAGTGTAATCATATGACCAATGCAATGCTTTTAATGTGTATAGTACACACTGAAAGAGTTTCAGAGAGACTTCTGGTGATTTGTTGTGTTTTGAAACAAAAAAAACCTGTCATGCCATGCAATTTCTATAAAACAAGTGCTCTATGACTTTCAGGGTTACAAGATTTCACAAAAATAACAGAGTCTTGAGGTTTACAAAATAACAAATTCAATTTGTGATAAGCTTTTGTGGGTTGCTGCTTGCAAAACCTCATACTATATGGAAAAAATGTTAGTACTGATGGTTCCATGCAGTTTCTCCTTCTAGACTCTGTTACAATCCAAACAGAAAAGGGCCATTACCCCAGAACAAAGTACTCCCTTGAAGAGGGTTTGAAGAGTGATTTGTTTTGGATTCCTTCCAAGTTGTAGCTGCCATATCTCCCTAAGATTATGAGGCAATCAGAGCTACGTCTTGGATCTGATACAAGTTTCTAGTGTTGAATGGACAGCCAGGCATTCCAGTGCTTGTGGAGGCAGAATTATTGCTTCCCTGGAGAGCTCTTTGCTTCTGGTCAGGACTGGTAAACAAATAATACAAACTGCTACTGCAGTGACCATAATTCCTGTATGTCTGAAAGTAAAACTGAGTATATTTCAGACAGAAAATTTTGATGCAGATTATAAAGAGAAAGAGGCACCTGTATATCTTGTCGTGTAATCTTGAAAATATTACTACCTTAAACCATGGATTGGATTGCTTGCACCAGTGGGCTAAGGCTAGCCTTTATTGGCAGCCAAGGGAGCCTGCTACTTGAATTAGTAAAACTGCTGTTCTCTATGCCTTGTCCTTTGATTGCCATGGTTCCATCCTATGGAATTCTGGGATTTGCAGTTTGGGAGGGCAGTATTTAAAATACTCAGCCAGAGAGCTTTAGAGCTACACTAAACTACAAATGCTAGGACTACATAGGATGCTGCCATTGCAGTTAAAATGGAATCATGGTGCTATAATTGTGTTGTGTGAAAAGGACATGAGGCCTGTTTAATTAGGCTTATTTCTCTATAGCAATACATAATAGCCTAAATACCCTAAAGGCACCAGATCCCGTCTGATCTTGGAAGCTAAGCTGGGTTAGTCATGGTTAATACCAGGCTGGGAAACTGCCAAATAATAGAAAATGCTTCAGGCTATATTTCAAATAAGGGAACTGAAAACCCACTTTTAACTATATCTTGCCTTAGAAAAATCTATGAAATTCATGGGGTTGCCATAAGTCAGTGCGGAACTTGAAGACACGCATATATTTATATGCATAGGTTTGCCTGTCAATGGGCTGGTCATCTTTAGCAGCTGCTCTACCCAACTATGTTTACAAATGAAAGACCACAAATAAATATTAGAGAACTCCATATCAGAATCTCACAACCTGCACTCCCGTTATATGCATGTATATGTATTCATGTTTCTACACATTCAAGCACAGTTTTCATTTAGACATGCAATTTTTTTTCTCCTAGGAGAAGTAATGGGAGACTTGGTTTTCAACACTTGGGGAGATGCTGATGAAGTCTCTGCAGTTTCAACTGAGCGCTACATTTTTCTGTTCTGTTTCCATGAAAAACATGAGGATTCTCAGAGTTAACTTGTAATCTATGAAAGTTGTTTCTCTTCCTTTGGTATCCATCTTCAATAAAGTCGAACTGACTCCTATTTGCACAATGTCTGCCTTCTAAATATAACAGATATAACTTAGATTTCACATGCTCTAGATGGCTCCATTGTCCTCCTTCTCTGGGTGACTCTGTTACAGACTTTCTATGCTTTCCTGCCATTTCTTATTAATAACATGGTGCTTACTTACTGTAAAATAATGTGGGAAAACCTTGCCTTTTTTACAGAAAGCTTCAGGAAAATATTGTCAATACAATTAGGAATTATAGATTTTAAAAAAATATTTATAGTTTCTATCTGGAAAAAGAAATCCTTGCTCAAGAGTATGGAGATTAAGTCAGCTTTCCAAAGCTGTAACTGCAATACAAGTTTGGCTTTACCATATGTCAAGGCCCTGCTGTCTCTTGCCCTGCCATTTCCCTGGTACATTACTTCATCTCCTAGCAAAGGTTGGTGGAGGCAGCATTCCTAGTTAAGGCCAAAAAAACCCCCCCAGAGCAATGAAACAGTGCCAATCCAAGACAATTTACGTACAATGTGTACCCTAAGGTTGAGTCTCAGTTGTACCAGCCAGCCATCAAAGGCTGCTTCTACACAGCTATTTAATCCAGGTCAGGACATGAATTAAAGAGAGTCAGTTCACTGTGGAAGGCCTACACAGGCTCCCCAGGAACCAGTTCCAGGCTGGGCTGCAAAGATCTGTTAAGTGCTGATCAATCTGTTCCAAGGATTATTTTTCCCCTAGCCCCTTCTGTGAGATACATTGAAAAAGAAAATAGCTTATCTGAGGAGAAACTGTACTAAAGCTATTCAGGACAAAACAAGAAAGGAAAGGTGTACATTCCCATGGGAATACTGTGGTTTCTTCTCCAGAGGGGGACAGGGAGGGCTTGTTAACCTTTGGGTCGAGCTGTGTATCTGGCTTCTTTCTCTGAATGCTTCAGTGGTAGCTCTATTCTCACAAGCTCTCTGCATTGTGGTCTCAGACTCCTGTTCTACAGTGCCTGTGTAAATGGGGTCTTAGTCAATGTGAAACTACCTTAAAATCTGACAACTTAGTACTGATGGCAGAAAAATTGCAGAAGCATCTTTCCCTATCCCTGGAAGTATAAATAAAATATAAATATACCTTAGTTAAGGCAGTGGTGTCATTAGGTTGGTGTCACCCAATGTGGTAACACATTGTTTCTGTCTCTATCTCAATCTTTCTCACACAGAGACACACATAACACATCGCAATTGTAGAGATGGGCAACAGAGGCAGGTATTAAGAGTTAAAGGCACAGCACAGCAAGTGCCATGAGTGAGAGGAGAGGGAGCATGTTTAACTTTGAGGGTCACTACATGTAGGAGAAGAACAAAAATAAAGGCTCAGTTGGTGGCACATGGAACCAAGGATCATGATGGTGATATTGTTATTAGTATTAGTATTACCACTATTTTTTTTACTTATATAGCACCATCAAATGTACATAATGCTTTAAGAAAAAATTAATAATAAAACTTTATTTATATCTTGCCCTATCTCCCTGACGGGACTTAGGGCAGTTTCCAACAAAAACATGGCAAACATTTAATGCTGTAATTAACAAAACAAAAACAAATAACCTAAGCAATGGTGCTGCCAAAAACATAATTTAAAATATATGCATGGTGGTAGTTTGAGTGTTGGACTAAGTCTCTGGAGACCATGGTTCGATTCCTGGCTTGGCTATGGAAACCGACTGAGTAACCCTGAGTGAGTTACAACACTCTCAGTCCCAGAAAACCCCATGATAGATTTTGCCTTGGGGTTGCCATAAATCATAAGTGACCTGAAGGCACACAACAACAACAACAACAACAACAACAACAACAACAACAACAACGCACATACACACTGAGAGGAAGAGATAGCAAACACCAAATTGTACAATTGCAAAACAATTGTAACACCAAATTGTACAATTGCAAAACAATTGTAAGTGTAAACGAAGCGCATAAAACAAAACAGAATAAGTTACAATGCTTCATTCCAATACTGTTAGAATTCTCAACCCTTGAATAATTATAGAGCAAAGAAGCACCAACAGGTCTGGGGAAGGAGCAATACCAAAACTATTTTGGGTGTGGAGCAAACCCAGAGAGGCCTTTGCTTGAAAGGGATGAGTCAATGGAGACACTTGCTCACTTGTTATTGGAAATGCTGTCAGGTTTAATAGCAGGGTATTAAAATATGAGCTTTGTGTAACCACATACACAAGCTGTAGATGGTTCTTATAAAAACTGTCTCCTACAAGGAGGAGGAAAAGGAATCTATTTATCAAGGGGGAAAAAGGTGTTCTACAATATAATGTTAATAATGAGTACTTGTTAATAAATATTTTCCAGAAAGTTAAATTGTTGAGAATGAGTACTGAAGAATGCGGTTTTGTAAAAAGATGATTTCTCTCACCAAACCCATACCTCTTTCATACCATTCAATTCAATCCCATTAATTTCCATTACTCCATGCTATAAAACTCTGCAGTGTTTGAGACATTAAAAAAACCATTGCCAGAGAGCTCTAGTGCCTGGCAAAACTACAAATCCTATTGTTCCATCTTGGAACGATAATCTTGGAGGGAAATAATTTCCTACCAATTTATGTTTTTCCTCCATTTTTAAAATCCAGATTTTAATTAAAAATGCAAATAAAAACATTCATTAGCATAAACATACTTGAACCACAATTACATAATTAATTACACCATTTAGCTCAGCAACATATATTTCTAATTATATGTAAATCTAAAATACAAAAGTATTCATTAGTTTTTTAAAGGAGTTCCTGTTTCCCTTTTATTGGTGATTTTTTTTAATAGTTTAAGGTTTTGTTTGTCTTCCATTCCAACTAATTTCTGAATTAACATTCATAGGTCTCTGCTTCCAATTCTCAGAAATGGCAAAATCCATGTGGAAATATTCCTCTTTCTTTTTTTTTCCTTTCTTTTTTTTTTAACACAGGCAATGGGACATAATACTTGAATTTGTCTTTTTGGTTTTTTTTTATTTAGCTAGTTTTCTTTTCTCAGGTCATCACTGACAAACATGGAAGTGTATGCTAGGAAACATTCATACTTCCAATGCCCCACTTTCATTATGAACTCATAATTGTTCCATGTGATTTTGTTGTTGGCCACAATCCCTGTTAACCCCTTACATTGGCTACATTGGCTAGGGATTACTTGCTTCACAATTAAATGACATCTGGAGGGCCACAGGTGTGGTTGAACGTATGTCAGAACAATGGACTTCTTCAAGTACACTTAATTTTATATGAACACAAGAGCATAAGTTGCTTGTCCTTTTTGAGATTATGAGTTGGACTCGAGCAAAGCCATGCTTAGAGCAGACCTGCTAAAATCAATAAGACATAAGTTTGCCATAGGTGTTAACATGATCTGCCTTAGTAAGGTTAAGGATGCATCTACAATGAATAATTAATGCAGTTTGACCTTACTTTAACTGTACTGGCTCAATGGAATACTGGGATTTATAACACAGTCCAACCAAAAAAAAAAAAACCCTTTTCTTGGTGCCGAGGTTGTTTGGAAAGACCTACTATATCGAATGACTGGATAGTTTGTATCATAAATCTGTGGTTTTAGTATGAAATAAGCAGATTTCCATGTAGTACACTTTTTCTTTGATGTTTAATATATTTCTTTCATGCTCAAAACATGCAACTGTAATTTCAACACTACATTGAAATATCCTGATTTTGTTTTTGTTTTTTGCATGAGCAGAGTGAAGAGTGATATATGGCATATGTTCAAAAACTAGCACTGATAGGGGAAAACTGGTGCCATTTTTGGGATCAGCAGGTCAAATGCATCCAGAAACGGATCTAACATTTGAGGCATCAAATGTGGGCCAGTGTAATGTAGAAAGGCACCAGTTCTCTTTGGCAGAGAAGAATAAATAACTTGTTATATGACAACTCCCAAGATTCCATAGCATTGAGCCATGACAGTTAAAGTGGTGTCAAACTGCATTAATTCTACAGTGTAGATGCACTCTATGTCTGGAGCTAACCCACCAATGGAAGCAGATGACTTCCACATCAATTTGGGAGTGAAACTTCAAAAAAGCTATCCAATGTACTGAACTGAGTTTTGGGATAGGGTTGAATATCTTGGACAGCACATTTAATATCTGGGCAGCTAAGGAAGAATTCATCCTTCTACTGTTATGGAATCTGTTAACTTCCCTTGAAGCACCTTTGCATGTTCAAAAAAAAAGGAGTGCGTTTTTTTTAACAAGTTGCATGGTGCATGACATTTAGCCACATAGATTTTAACAGGGAAAACAAATAACTTGGAACTCGAGAGGAATTTATGAAAAATGAAATTATCCTGCCTTTGTAAAGCTAGGAACTATTTTTTCTGCAGACATCCTTCCTTATGGCAAATATTTTGATACAAGATTTTTAAACAAAATCTCAAATAGTTTACAATAAAATCAAGTATGATAGAGTCTGAGCCCCACCACCATTCACACATTTTTCTGTGGGATCATGAACTAAATCAAAATGCTCTTCCCAAGCTGATAAAAACCAATAAATCAGTGGGAACTCAGTTAAAATGTATATAAATCCCACAAACTCAATGGATCTATCCTATTCATGATGAGCAATGCAATTTAGCTCCATGTCTCCTAACAACTTGCTTATAGGGCTTCCCTGCTTTTGGAGAAAAGCATGGTGCAGTAGTTTAAATATTGGTCTCAGGTTCTGAGGGTATAAGATTTGAATCCTACCTTAGCCATGAAACTTACTTTCAGTAGGCCATACTCTCTTAGTCTTAGTAGAATGTAATGACATACCTCCCTTTAATAAATCTTGTTGAGAAAGTTCTGTAATAGAACAAAGGTCAGAGGTAACTTGAAGGCACAGAAGAACAAGCCCCTAACAATGTTTATGTTGAAAGTTCATGCAGTACATTCCCCAATTCACAGGACTAGTATCTCGGGTGTCATTTATCCATGTCCAAAATATGTCACCTCAAGATATTTTCCAG